TATTTTACCAATCCGCTGGAAGGGTCCCGATTGTAGTGGTCCTTATTTCACCACTACGGAAGGGTCCTGAATTTCCCAATCCGGACGGTCCCAATCCGGTTAAATACTTATTTTGCCAAACAGAAAGTTTCCCTATTAGCCGAATCAGAAGGGTCCAAATTTTACAAACGGTAGCCGGAGAAGTCCTTTTTTTACCAATCCGGCGGGATTCCAATCAAGAAGGATCCTTGTTTTGCCAATCCAAAAGTGTCGGTATTCGCTCAATCGGAAGGTTCCAAATCCTACAAACGTACCGGGAGGAGTCCTTTTTTCAAAAACCGGAAGGGTCCCAATCCATAAAGGTCCTTGTTTTGCCAATCCGGAAGGGTTCAAATTTTACAAAGGTATAATGACAGGTCCCAATATCACCAATCAGGAAGATACTCCCGGTGCGTGCAATATACTTTCACTTGAGAAAAAATTACTGCTTTCAAGCTTTGTCTGTTTAGTGCAGAACTAAACGGGGAAATTTTTTTAAATAAAAACAATTTCGTATATCAATTTGCGGCAGACTGGTCACAACACACGTTTGTTTTTTTCTCTTTTCAATTTGAATAAGTTTTTCAGCAACTGGATAGTGAGCTTACTAGCCTTTAAATTTATTTGACTGCATCAAATTTGTATTAGCTTTTTATTCGAAAATCCATTCAACACTACTGTGCATAAAATGAGAATACGGAAAATAAAGTTTCAGGGGGAATGGTCGAAACCAGCGGTCAAAAGGTTTCTGAGGGCAAAGTGAAACCTACAAACCTGGAAGTAGAGATACACCGGTGTCTTTTTCATAACGAGAATCGGGAAGAATTTGAAACCGATTGGAACGGTACGAGGCGACTAGCGAGTGAATCTACTTCAGTAGAACAATGACATGACTATGCGGTCTGGACTCTTGATTCTTGAGAAATGTCGGAAATGCCCTACGTTTCGATTGAAAATTCAGCGGTTGAGGGTTCACCCATCGACTTAACGGTGATGCTGGGAAAACCAGGAAAAGTAGTCACACTTCCTTCCTTCTCGGGAAGATTGAAAAATATTCAATTAAATTTCCTCCCATTTACGATGGAAGCAGGAGCTGGCGAAGAGATCGAAACTGAAGAGGAAGCCGACAACATCGAACAGGAAACTTTTAGATCATAGGTGACCTTCAACAGTTCGACCCACGAAGAGAAGCTGCCCGTCAAAACAGAGAGTGGTTCCTCAAACCAGCTTGGTACAGTCAAAACGATTGGTACAGCTTCGAGTTGAAAGCAGAATTCAAGTGATTTCTCGGCAACAGCCAATTGTGGTAACCATGATGGTCTGACTCTGACCAAAGCCACCAGACTAGGAGTGACACTGAGAGAGTTAGAGTTTGAATACGGTGGACCTTCAAGACAGAGGGAAACAGCATGATTTTGACTAGCAAAAAAAGCTTGCCACGAACAAAGTGACACCACCACTAGTGACATCATTAAACAAGGATGAAATATCAGTCGAAACAGCCCTGACCAGAATCATAAACAGGAGTGCTGAGCGAAAACAACTAGTTATGAACAGAATGATTGAACTGGAGAGAGCTGTTTGCATTGAACGACAAGATTCGCTAGAAGAGATACTGCGCAACAATCAAGATACTAGCCAAATTGAAAAGCGCTGGAAGGAAAAAACTGATTTCTACCTGACCAAGAACTTGTCGCGAATGACACGCGAAGTCAATCAGAGGGAGCAACGGCTGAGAGACGAATGTAGTAACTTCTGAGTCAACAAGAGCATGCTCTTGGGGCTCTCGACAATATGCTATTTGATACGATGGAAGACGCACCCAAGCTATTTTGGACAGACTAGATGGTCTCTTAGACGCTGGTAGTGGAGCAACAAACAGAGGTACCCACTCGTGAGATACGGTTACAAAACCAAGAGTGAAGTTCAATGAGCCTTCAAGAAGAAGAAGAACAGGTGGGCCACTAGAGGCAGGATTAGTTCAGCAAAAAATCACACTGGGAGTCACATGCCAAGGAATCCACCAACTGAAAACAGAGGAGACTCAATTGAAAGCACGTCAGCTTTGAATAAAGGACCCACAGGAAACACAGGATGGAATCACTCGAACCCGTTAAGGGCTCAAACAAGCATTTCTGGCAGAAAGAAGGTTTCAGAGCTTCAAATGACTGATACTCAGGATCACACGGGGTACACTCGAGATAATTCGACAATAGCGACAGCGTTCAGCCCTCTGAGCCGATCCCTAGACACGTCCCTGACGAGAGTATCTAGGACCACTGAGCGCAATGAGAAGTCTAAAAGACTGATCAAAAAACCAAGATGTTATAAAGACGAGTCAGAAGGTTGCATAGACACCTAGATAGAGGTTATAAGGTTGCATTTCGAGGAGGATGATTTGTTAGAAAGACAAGATCGGGACGCACTCACTGTTGACCTGGAAGGGACGACCTTGAATTGCGTGATGGCATAGAAGCAATATTAACGGCATACTGCGAGAACGTCTTCGAGAGACTGTTGACTAATTTTGGCACAAAAGTGAAGGGCAAAAGGCTATGATACACTTTGAGAAACAAAAGCAATGCAGAAAAGAAACCATAGACAGTTTCTGAATGACTTGGAGCTTCTGAGAAGACGTAGCGAACTGGACGAATCAAACAGTAGGTTGAATCTAGTAGTGGCCTCAAATTTATTTGATGATGTGAAAAGTGAAAGCTTAGAACAATGCTGGCAAATCAATACACCCCTATCTCAACCAAAGTTCCCTTTCCAAAGGACTTGAGACTCAAATCCAAAGAGTACTTAACGTTGAAGGCACCGATGAGATCAAGCTATTAGATTAACAATAAAGACAATTTTAACAATGGATCTGTAAATCAAGGCAACAGCTGGTACAAACATAAAGACAATATGGGAAAGAGATGCTCTTCGGTAAATTGCAGTTCCACCGATCACGATGTATCGGTGCGTCGAACGTATTGGACATCGGCATGTTCAATGTTCAATGTATGGCAGGTAGGCCATCGGTTTTTGCCTGGAAGACGAAGATGCTTTGCACAACGAGCAAGAGGAATTTATAAGGAGATTAACCTAAAAGTTTGGCCCAAGGTGCTTCTTTTGTAGCTTGAAGCATCATTTCACATCCTGTTGTTCACAAATTTGGGATGCAGTGGCGGATATCAAGCACCAAGGCATGAAGAGACTTTGTCAGGTGTTAAAGCTTGCAAGTCACATCTGATGAAAGAAGCGGAAGCAAGGAGGAAAGGGAAGCCTCACGAACTGGCCACGAAGAAGATGCAAGCTGTGGTGGAGAAAACAACCGAAGTCGAATCGAAGACCGCTACACAGGATTTTAGAATCGATTACGAGTAAGAGAAGCCTTGAACACGGTTCAACAAAAGTTGGCAACTAAAGAAATTGAATAGACAATCAAGCTCAAAATGGAAAATGAGAGGGTACAGGACCAACTTAATGAATTGAAAGCATCAAATTTAGAAGAAACTAAGGCATGAAGAGCAGGAAACTGAATGTGATTTTTGGTCAGACGTTTGAAATGGTCCCTGAGGACAGCAACATATGGTCAATAATCTTGGTGGCGTGACATCAGGTAATCATAAACCTGAGGAAACCATTGGATTTACTATAATGCATCTGGACAATTATGTAGACTATCTGAGACAAGCAGAACCGCGGACCGAATGGAGGGCTGTGCGATCCTGGATGCTGACAGGTTGCCCCCGGACCAAGAAAGGTAATGGTTTTCACGTGGAAGTCTGCAAACCATAAGAATCACAGCTGAACGAAGATGGCATAAGCATCTATACTAAGACTTATTTGACGACAGACAACAACCAGATTAGCAAATATACCTGTGTCGAGACAATTTCAGTGTCCGGAGAATTGGCCACAACGCCATGTTGGAACAAGATCCGGTACACATTGATTACAAAGCGGCTATGGCTGCACATCTGCTGAACATAGACGGAAAGAAGGTAGGGGTCACTGGACTATTGGATACAGGAGCGGTGGTCAGTGTGATGCCGATCAAGACATGGGAGAGAATCGGTTTCACCAGGGAAGATCTAATATGATACACTCACACACAGCCGTTTTGTATGACGAAAAAACTCCGGCAGAAAGCACTGAATTTTGACTGCTAGGGTTAGGCACCAGGCAAACTTGCTGACTACTGCTCAATGGGCTCAAATTTCCCATCTTGAAAGTCGCGACGACTGCCTGCCTGGGCTTTAATTTTACCTTTCCATATTAAAAAATCGGTATTTTGCTTTATCCATAATATCCTATTTATCGGTCGCTTAACATAGTCTCTGTATGTTTTTAGTTATCCGTTTTTGGTTATTAAGTTATCTTTGGCGCCCATATATACTAATTTCAAGGAGGGAGCGCGCGCCAAAGAAAGCAATCTCTGGTAAAAGTTTCCAAGAAAAGGTTCCTACAGTTGCCTTTTTTGGCCTATTTTATCCAAATTTTTGCCAGCGGCGCAAAACTTTTAGCCAAAACAAGATCTTTTGAGTGCTTTAGGAGACGTCAAAAAGTCAGTTTGGTTGCCTTAAAAAAGAATTTTTTTGGAGAAACCGCCCCCCTCCCCCTTCGAGAAAGCTACGCCCCTGGTCGGAACATAAGTTCCCGACCTCGTACTGGGTAATCGTATATTATATTCAATTGAATGGCCAGGTTATTAACTTTTGATTTAAAACTGATAAACTGATCCATAAGAGTGTTTAATGAGAATTTGGGAACGCCCTGGACGTCATGAAATAACAAGCCGGACGCTTGTATGCCGTAAACAGTCGAATCTTTCTTAATCCTTTATTGGTGCAGGTATTTCAAGCCAGCTATTAAACTCCTTTTTAGAATCGCACTTGAATGCGAGAAATTTTTATAATTATAGCAATCTTTAGTTAGTATTGTTACGGCTACGGTTTAAATCGATAAAACCAAAAAACTAAAGCTCAAAATGGCTCTTAAAATTTATACGCTTCAAAAATGCATCAAGTAAGCCAGTAAGAAAAAACTATTTTACTGAAGCTAACTTTGCTTAACTGTATAGCCTTGTTAAACAGCTTTAAGCTTATATAATCTGGTCGCACGTTTCTGTCTACGGATTTACAACAGTCTGAAAAAAAAGCCGAGCCCAATAAATGAAAGAGCGCCGACGAATTTCTGTTCTCCGATAGATTATTTAAAGTTGGTGCCATTAAATGACAGCAGGCCACGTGCAACAACAGTCCTCGGCTATGGTCCTCGGAGGAATGAGAGCCAGAGATGCGACAAGTGAGTTCGACTTCTTCAGGAAGTCTCATCTTAGTATCTCGCGGTTGCCGACCATCAGTGGAACCGAGAACCATCTCGACCGGAGTCATTCTTACTGGCGTGTACAACAACAGGTGTGGGAATTAATACCTAATAATATTAATAATAATAATAATAATAATAATAATAATAATAATAATAATAATAATAATCATAATAATAATCATAATAATAATGATAATAATAATCATAATAATAATAATAATCATAATAATCATAATAATAATAATAATCATAATAATAATCATAATAATCATAATAATAATAATAATAATAATAATAATAATAATAATAATCATAATAATAATAATAATAATAATAATAATCATAATAATAATAATCATAATAATAATAATAATAATCATAATAATCATAATCATAATAAAAATATTTCAACTTCATTTTCATTTCTCGACTTCCACTGATATTGAACTAAAACGGAATTTCTCCGTTTTTCAATCAATTTTTCTAAAACTCTGTAATCCAATCATTACTTGGGTTGCTATAGTTTCATCATGTTTTACATTAACTTAAAATTTAGATTAAGACTAAGATCATTTGTCCACTGCGAAAAAACTAACATTAATTGCCTAACCTTAACATTAATTGCAAAAACAAGCTCACAGATCAAGTTGGGCCTCGAACCACCGACCTTTCGACAGTTATCTTTCATCTGTAATCGGTGGCTCTCACGAATTGCATCTTTCGAATTATACCTGAATCCAGTCTCCACTGGCTTTATTTCAAATCAACAACTCATCTCTGCGCAAAAAACGGCATGTAGTCTCCAAAACACGATCTTATTTCATCATCATCAAGAAGCAGAAAATCTGATAATACTGAAAGATATGACTGACTCAAAATGAAAACATAGCGTAAGCTTTACTCCATTATTTCGTAGTTCAAACAACGGTTTTTGAGATATTTTAATGAAACTTCTCATTGATTAAATTTTTCTTTCAGTAATTATGCTTCGTTTATTTAGCAAAATTATTTTAAAAAAGCACCATTTTATGCCATTTGCAAAACAAATAGTTGCTCCTATTTTTTCGCATTTTTTTTATAGCAGGTTGACTAAAATATATAAATACTGAAGCTAAACGGTGTGTTTTACGGAAAGAACTAAACCATACGTGTGGTTTTCTCCATCCAAAATACGCTGCTAGAAATAAACTTCAGATAGGGTCAAAATATGCGTCAAATCCAGGGAAGTTCAGTAGTTTTTTAGACCTTATATGGTACCAAGCAATCAACAAAGTAAATTAAGAATAAGTTAAAAGAATGAAGATTGTTGAACTGTTCAATACGTTCTAAAGCTTTACTAATCTGCGCCTGAAGTTTTTTCAGCCAAGGTTCACGCCATTCCTTTTCTTACAAGAACCAAAAACAAAAACGTTTTTCTGTAAAATGAAAAAGATTAAGATTAAGACCATTTATCCGCGGGGGAAAGGACCAACACAAGAGATGTACAGCTCATCACGGCGAACCGCTGTTGTGCCCGTTTAAGAACAACATGCAATTTTTTTGGTTATTTTTCTGGGCTGGGTAATGTTGCTTCACCCTCAAGCAACGAGCACGGATCATGTGAGAGCTTGAGACCACCGACCTTTCGATTGAGAGGCGGAGACGTAACCACTTCACCACCGCTCCCTCTAGGTCTATGTTAAATTTTCTAGGTTCAATTGAGTTCACTTATTTGTTAAGATATGCGCGGAGGCAGAGAACGTTAGATTGGCAGAGGACCCTCCAATGCGAGGAGTGAGTCGGATCACAACTAAGAGGCAGAACAAAACACTGTATGGTGGATACCCAAAGCAGCCAGAAGCCAAACACGTCAAGCCCACACCAAAAACTGCAGCTGCCGCGGCCAAACTTCCGAGCATGGATTCAAAGTTGGGCGCCAAATCTGTTTTCTGGAGGTGGAATTCACTGTCCGAGGATCTTCGTAGAGGCAGGGTGCTCAATTTTCACCAACTAAAGATCAAACCACCAAAGCAGAACAGCACACAATCGGGTCAGGGGGGACAGAATTTAGAAGCTAGTGGGGGGCAAAAAGGAGGGGGACAAAACAGGAGATGGGACCGGGCTTCGTCTAGGTACCACTATCGGGTGTCTCCGAGGTATCACGTGCAGTTTCTGGAGGACATACATCAGACCCGCACACTCGGTTGGAAAGGTCAGATTTAATTTGAAGGTTACTGAAATTTTTTTTAAACGTATCTTAGTGATAATTTTCACACTCAGCTCCCGTTAATTTTAGCTTCACCATGTCACGTTTAATTCAAATTAATTTTGGTCTTCTTGTTCAGGTGCTGGTTTTTATCGGTTTTAACACCAAGGCTTTCAACGAACCTGTCCTGAAAAACAAAAAAAAATAGGTTGAGTTTTTTGAGGTATAACTCCTCCAAGTCCAAATCACTATTTGCAGGCAACACAAAGATGGTGAATTCAGCCAAACGCGATTCAAAAGCAGCCAATCAGAAGCAGATGGGGTATGATGGAACTGACTTTGAAGAGGAGGAGGGTGAGGAGGGGGAGAGGGATGAGTTTGAAGATGCACTGGCCACGAATATCAGTGGCGTAGACGAGGCGGGGGAGAAAGAGGGGGCTAAGAAGGAGGGGGAGGAGAAAGCCGAAGAGATAGGAGGTAAGGCGTTTAGCTCGTCGGAAGAAAAGGTTTGCTGCTTAGATTTCTAGCATGGTTGCTTTGGGGCACTTAGCATAGTGGTAAGGCGTTCACTTTAGAATCGTCAGATCGTGTAATCGATCCCATGCCATGGCAATGATAGTGTAAGAGGACGAGCTCTCACTTGACCTCTAGCTTCAGGTCTACCACAACCTGACCAAAATTGGCTGCAAAAGTGGTACCACGTGAAAGTTCTAGACGCACAAAAACGGCCTTGAGTCGCAAAAAAAGAGCTTCACTCAACAAAATAACACAGTCTGGAATGTGGGGAAACAATACAAACGGACTATCCTCGACAGGACTGTTAAGGCCTACTGATAGCTCCTCTGCGATTCGCAGGAACTACAATTATTATTATAATTATTAACTAGGGGAAAGCCTTCTGGGTAGCCAGAGTGTTCAAAAACTCTGGGTAGCCAGAGTTTTTGAACACCACTATTGAAAATATACGTTTTTTTTCTGGGGTGGTCAGTTGTCACATACTAGAAGCAGTGTGCTAATGAAGATGCTTAAGCATTATTGTAACTTTATTTCTTAGAGTCAAATGATGTCAATTTAACCAAATATTTCTCAAGCAGGCGAAGACGCAAACAGTTTGGAGGCAGAGCTGGACAAGGAAATGGTAAACGAGAAGGATAAGGAAGACAAGAAAGAAGACGACGAAGTTGCCCAAACTCAGAAGGTGCTCACTGAGATCCAAGAAGAGGAAGAGAAAGACTGATAAGTTTATTGGGAGAGAAATTGAAAATGATGAAAATGACTGAAGATTTAGTGTTTATGTGCTAGAACTGCCAAGTAAATCATCTACGAAATACATAAAAAGTATCAATCCTAAAGTTATTAGTTAATCTGCGTTTGAAATATTACTTGTTTTCTGCTCAACTAGCATAGGATTCTTAGCTATGGCCGCCTGTGCTGAAGTTTTCCCTTCAACCATATCTGTACACCTGAAAATTAGGCACTTTTCGGGTCTGCACCAAAACAGTGGCACATCTATTTTATGCATAGGCATAACTGCTACAGACCTGCATCAGATCTGATAAGTTCGCTTGCATGCAGCTCTGATCAGGTCTGCATCAGACATGAACAGATCTTGTTGACGGATGACCAGAGAACACCGTCCCAGACCTTGCAAGTAGTGACTGATCTATCATAAGTTTTAGTCTTGACCTGCGGACTGTTGGTCATGGTACGCCGTCTAGAGAACATTCGCTCTCCTGACTGTGTTAAAGTTCTCTTGTTCAAATATTCAGATTAATTTGAAACTATTTTTTTTAAAACTCTTCTGCCGGCATTGGTCTGAATTAAGGCGCTGGGAGACTTTAGTTGGAGTTTTCACTCCGAAAAATACGTTACAATTAACAAAAGAACAAAGTCGAAAATCGCAAATTATAAGTTTCATTTATTGTTGCAAAGAAGCAGTGAGAGAAATATTTGGCAATTTTGGAGAGCACGAATAACTGGTACCTAGTTAAATCTATAAAATATGGCCTGATCAGTGTTATTCGAGCTCTTATCATAGTGCAGGCCTGAGTGGAGATGTTATAGACCTGAACAGACCTGGATGAACACGATATCAGATTTGAGAGTTACAAGCTCCTCCTACTGGAGTTTCATGGATAATGATGAAATTTATTGGATATATCAATAAATCAATCTCTAAAAGTTTCGTTAAAAAAATCAATTAAAAAAATGGATTGTATTTTACTTTTTTTAATATCAATAAAATCCATTTTAATCAACTAAAGCAATTATAATGTATAATAATCAATTAAAATGTATTATAATCTCGTAACAATTTTTAGTTTTTCTTTTTTTGCGGATCTTCATTCACTCTCACTGATCCAATTCAGGCCCCTTGCCGTCTCTAATAGATGACCCTCCCCCTACGTATACACCACTACCTGCCGCTAACACTTCCTCGTTCTCGTTTACATAGACCCCCCACGTTTACCAGCCAGCCAATCCCCCCCCCCCCCCATATTTACACCACTCCCTTCCTATAACTCCTCGCTTACACCCCAACCACCCCTTCCTGTATAAAACCCCATAAGCCACCCTATTCCTCGTTTATGATCTCTCGTGGAGGGGAGGCGTAGGATGGACAGTAGTGGCAAAAGAAGGGGGTTTGAACACTAACCTTAAATAAAATTGATTAGGTTTAAAATTGATACAGCGTCTAGAGAACATTCGGTCTCATGGCTGTGTTTAAGATCTCTTTTTCAAAAAGTCAGAATAATTTAAAACTCTTTTGCCGTCATTGGTCCAACTAAAGGCGCTGGGATACTTTACTTGGAAATTTCACACCAAAAAATACGTTATACTGTGCAATAGAACACAAAAGTCGAAGATTACATTTTTAAATTTCATTTATTGTTGCAAGGTAGCAGTGAGAGAAACATTCAGCAAATTTGGAGCGCTTAAACTAACCGCACCTAGTTAAATCTATAAAATCTGGTCTGATCAGTGTTATTTCAGTTTTTATCATAGTGCAGGCCTGAGCGGAGATGTTAGAGACCTGATGCGATCTGGATGAACACGATATCAGATTTGAGAGACACAAACTCTTCTTAGTCTAATTTTATGGATAATGATGGATTATATTGGATTTCCATGATCAATCTCTCAAAAATTTTTCAAAAATCATTTAAAACGGATTTTAGTTTTTTTGTGTTAAATCAATAAAATACGTTTTAATCATCTAAATTTATGATGTATTAATTTCAATTCAAATGTATTATAATCTGGTAACTTTTTTTAATTTCCATTTTTTTTTGGATCTTCATTTGCTGTCCCTGATCTAATTTACGTCCCTTGTCGTCTCTCCAACTTATGACCCTTCCCACATGTTTACACAACTAACCGCCGCTAACACTTCCTCATTCTCGTGTACACCCCCCCCCCCCCCCCCACGTTAACCAGCGACCCCTCCCATATTTACACCATCCGCTGCCTACAACTCCTCATTTACACCCCAACCACCCCTCGCTTAAAAAACTCCCTTAAACCACACTACCCCCTCGTTTACGAACCCCCTTGATGAGGGTGAGGCTTAGGATGAATAGTAATTGCAGGGGGAAGGGCTTGAACACAATTTTTAAATAAAAATGATTAGCTTTAAATTTCGAGTAGGCCCTGAATAAAGTAGAAATTGTTGATTGTTTTGCAATCTATTTTGCAAAAATTATAGAGATTATAGTCCATTATTGTCAATTATAAAAAATTTTAAATGGATTATAATCCATTTTAATGGATTTTGTTTTTGCGAAAATATTTGATTAAATTGACAGTGTAATCAATTTCGAGGTCTAAGTTTGCAATAAAATGGATTAAAATGACAGAATTTTAGACAACATTTTTCCATTATAGTCATTTTTCATCCATGAGACTCCGGTGCGGGTCAGCTATGCGGCGTGCATATCTTTGACGTTGAATGTTTGTTGACTTTTTCGCGTTAGTTGCATATGCATTCTGGGTAAGTAGCAATTCAAATATGGGCCTATTAGCATGCGATATTTTCTTTAACTGGATGTGCTTTAAGATGAAAAATATAACAGTTTGTAGTTTTCAATAAGTTCGAAAATTATTTGATTTGTTAGGGAAGTTTCACGTTCGGCTTATTAAAATTTCGACTGTATAAAATTTTTAGTTTGAGCAAATAAAAAATGAAGTAGCAAATTTTCAAACTAATTTTTTCTATATGATATTAAATATCGACCCAAGTAATAATGGGCCGTTCTCCTTGGATTCTTTGCATTGAAGCTTTTTTCGTTTATTTTTTAGTTTTAGCATACTTTCATATTCGACGCATTAACGTGATTTTATTATGAAAGTATAATTGACTGGGTTATAAAATCACCATTCTGGATCTTTGACCAAATCAACTCGCAATACCGTGTTTCTGACTAATAGTGAGCTTCACAAAATACAAACATCAATTTATTTATGAGGTGTTGTAATGAAGTTATTGATAGTCATTTCTAGCACTCAATCGCAAATTGAAAAAAATATGAAAAATCGGTATCCTGTCCACAACGAGGTTCTATGGATAGAAATTGATTTTGATGGAATTTTATAGTCTGTCTCCGTAGAATTCGAAAGTAGTCGATTAAAGTAGCGATCAATAAAAAAATAGGTCAGATATCAATTTAGTCCATTATTATCGATTATAATAGGTTATAAAGGATTTTAATGAATTATAAAATTTAATAATAGTTTATAATGGATTATAATAAAAATTTATGAGTAAGAGCCTAGATTTTTCGAAACCTTGGAAACAATTATTCAAAAATTGAACGTTGCCATTGCTAAATTTTGTTTTACATTTGGCTACAGCAAAAAGTTGTATTGTTTTCTACTTGTATTTCTTTGTTTGTCTTACCTTCCCCCTAAACACTTCACACTAACTCCCACCGTTCTTACTTTCTTCAGTTACCACCACTTTTGCTCCCCACATTTAACACTTACTTACATTTACCATATAAATACGAAAGAAAATCTATGCGCGTCCCCTTCTCGCCTAAAAAGCACACACACTATAACAAATCCCACACCCTAGAGATTTTTACTCCCCCTAAAGAAACTGAAGGGGCGTGTCAATTAGGTGTGGTGAGAGGTGTGCGTAGGCTAGGTGAGGGGGGGGGGGGCAGGTGGCGGAAAGATGGCGGTAAGGGTAGGCGGGGTGGCGTAGGTCGGGGTCTGGTTCGTGAGGGTTTTGCAATAATTGGATATGGTTTTGCAAAAAACTAAATGTTGGTAGATTTAAAAATAATGTAGGCTGTGAGTAAAGCAGAAAATGTGGAAAAAAATTAAAGATAGCAAAATTGATTGTTCATTAAATTGGATTTTAAATGAATTTATAGTTTTATAGTTTTTTTAAATGAAAATAAAGGATTATAATGGGTGAAATCGATCTTGTGGTCCCAAAGCGTAATTGTAATCAATTTCTCCAATTGTGAAATGCATACATAAACAGTTTCTATTTTTTCTCTGGAATAGAATTATAAAAAAGTAAAAACTATGATAAAAACGCAAAAAACTTGCACAGAGATTGTTATCTAAAAGTTTCATTTAAAAGTAGACCGATGACAAGACCCGTTTTTCTGCAATTTCAACAAAATTTCTGAAATGATTTAGGTCACGAAACGGAAATTAGTTCGCCATTGCCCACCAAGTAAAATACGGAAAATTAGAACATTAGCAAACGAAAAGTTTGTTTTGAAAATCAAAACATTAAGAAAACGTATTGTATTGATTTCATTTTTTAAACTTTTAACAAAAAATCTGAAACTAAACATTCTGAATTGGTGATTTACTGGGATCATCTTTGTCTCCTGGGCCACCATATGTGTTCAGATCTCCAGCAATTTGGTTTACAGTTCACTCCGCTGCTAGCTTGTTTGTTCATGGTCTAAAACAGACTTTATTTTAATTTTTGGCTGAAAAAAAAAACGTTTGCTTACAAAACTTTCATAAATGGTATGAATTTGCTCTTTTTTTGATGAAAATTAGTTTTCAATTACACTGTGAGAAAAAAATTATTTAATTTGTTTAAATTGACTCGTTGATCTAAATTTTAATTGTACTTGGTTTTTATGTCTTTACGTTGACTGTGCTTGACCAACGTTTCGACTGTGCTTTACATTTTTTTAATTATATTTTTCCAATGTTTTGTTTTAAATATGTTTTTACGGTTTAACGTTTGATCTTTTTCAAGGTCAAAATCAAGTCATTCACTTGTTAATAAAAAAAACAAGTGAAGTTCGAAACTGGAATAAGCGTACCAAGTTATGCATTGAAATAAAAAATAATTCAATGAAAGCGCTCAAACAATTGATATTCGAAAGCAAAACTAGATTTATAT